GGAGAATCCTTTATCAGGAATTTGAGATCTGAGAAATATTAATTTGTTGCTAAATTGTAGATTAATTATGCAAAACTTAAGTGCATATCATTAGTCAAACACAATTTTTTCATACTGTAATTAGTAAAATTTGTATATTAATTTTGCCCCTGCTAAATTTTTTTTTCTAGCTCTGCTCCTGCCTCCACCCTATCCACCCACCAAGAAAAAAGAGTTGAGGAACTAATTGGCAAGAATTATCTCATGTCACTTGTTCCAAGGATTGCATACGTAAATAGAATGCTAGAATGCCTAACTGGCTACATGATTTAATTAGTATTGTTTCTTCACGGTTTAATTGTCGAACTTTCAACTTGACTTCATAAGTACACATCTTCCCCATTTTCGGCTAAATCAATTTGCAAAACGGGTAAACTTGTGCAAGTTATATGTTGACTTTGGTGTTTACGTACCCAAGCAGATAATGAGGTTTAGGGCTAAAGTTGGTAGGTTTGTGTGATCCAGAAATAATTATGAAATCCAAACTACAATTTCTATGAAATGCAGCACAATTCATATTCTTTGTCAGTTAGCGCTACACATTCATTACACTTATCTAAAATTACTAGTACTTGGCTACAAGGGTAGTACGTTGTTGATAAAATTTTATTTGTATACTTGACTATAACTTTTAATTTTTTTTTATCTTTCTTTTTCTTGTATTTTTATTCATGGTTGTTTCGTTTGGGGAGGAGGGGGGGCGGGGTTTGCATGTCCATATCATCTCTTAACCCATCAGTATGCCAAGTATGTTTTTCTTCCTCTCATAGTACTCAACTCTTGGACGAAACCATGACAGATTCAAATGGCCCTCAAACTCAGGCAAACCATATCCTGAAATTTACTATAATATATTAGACAGGGTTTCGTGCAAGGTGCAATAGAGGACTCTTCAACATGCTATTACAAAAATAACATAACCAAATTAACACGAAATATAATTTAAGAGCAACCATAATCATGCAACTAAAGTATATACACAGATAAAGATAAGACAAGAGAGTAATTTTAGTCCTTGTCTTACATTTTCTCTACCCTTGTATGCAATATTGCCCAGAAAAAAAAAAAAGACGGGACATTGGAAAGTCATTTTAAACTAGTCCTGTTGATATTCACTCCTAAGACTTGCAGGAAAATTGGTTTCCCAACTACTTAAATCGATTTTTACAATCATACTTTAAAGTATTAAAAGTAATGCAAAATGCTACAAATCTTCTTTGGAACTATTGAAAGTTTGACACGTTCTTCCTTGTTTCTTTTCTTTCTTAAAAATATTTAACTTGTTAAAGGAACTTGGAATAAAAGTAATGGATCCTAGTCACTCCAAAATCACAATTGAAAATAATACTTGGATTCGGTGACGAGTATGGGACATGAATTAATGATAATGTGAACTTTGTACCAATTACTGCAATCGACTATTCAACACTTCACTACTCGTGGGCCTACACCACGACCATTTCATCGGCAATCTGACAAAGAATTTCCTATAAATAGAGATCAATCTATCCCAGGTTTCTCATCCCTTCTCATTCAGTTTCCAATACATAAAATACCCTTTTTGCAAAAATGGGTTCCAAGACTCTTCTTTTCTTCTGCATTTCCCTGGCTATAGTTCTCATGATTACCTCACAGGTTGCTGCTAGGGAATTGGCTGAGACTTCCCAGTCAGTTGACAATTGTAAGACATTTATTCTCTAATTTAATTTCATCCTTTTATTTATTTATTTATATTTTGTTTCTCCTAACTTCTCTTAAGTTTATGTCTAACATATATTAACATAAAGAGGACCATAGAATTTCACATTTCTGATTACGTAATAATATCAGTTGGACATTCATGTAAGGGGTTGAAGTATCAATAAACATAGATGAGTCCTAGTAATTAATCTAAGTATCTAACTAAGGTGTTCATTCAAGTTTGACTCGGGATGTAGTAAAATCATGTACACAAACTAGTTGAAAATTTTAGTATTTCAAGTTGTTTGACCCCCAAATGATTTTATTTGACAAAGTCATTCCTAATCACACTAACATGCGTACATTATTTTTTCCCAATTGCAGCCAAGACTGTTGATGAGACGAAAGGCGTAGAAGAAGCCAAGTGGGGTGGAGGTTATGGTGGCGGCGGTTATGGTGGCGGTTATGGTGGCGGCGGCTATGGTGGTGGTTATGGCCATGGTGGTTATGGTGGTTATGGCCATGGTGGTTATGGCCATGGTGGTTATGGCGGTTATGGCCATGGTGGTTATGGCGGTGGTTATGGCCATGGTGGTTATGGTGGCGGCGGCTATGGAGGTGGAGGAGGTTATGGTGGCGGCCACGGTGGTTATGGTGGTGGTCAAGCCGTGGAGGCTGAGCCTCAGAACTAGTAAAGCCATGAATTCTTAAACACGCTCGTTGTGATAGTGTGCGGTTTGTAGCGTGAAGTACAAATAAGAGCTTGGTTAGTGTTTTGTAATATGCAGTCTATGTACTTGCTTGCTAGATCGATGTTTCAATTGTGTGAATTTGTAATAATGTGTCCCTTCAATGAAGGCACCTGATGTGATGTCAAAATATTCTCGTGTAATATGAAGTCTTTCAGTAATTTCCCCCTGAAAAAGTGAGTAATGCCTTTACTATTTCAAAATAACAACTAAATCAAGGACATTTTCGATTGGCAATTTTTAATATTAGAGGGTATTTAAATGAAATTGTCAAAAACTTTAAAGGAGGTTTCTGAAATTATCCCTTTATTAATATATCACCTCACGAACTGGTTTAAACCAAACACATCCCATATAAACAAGATACGAAAACAAACTCTCCCTATTACCCTATTTCTAATGAACACTACTCATGTAGCACTTAGTGTAAAAATTTTGCCAATTGCTATATTTGACCATTTCGACACTAAATAAGGACTCATGTGTTCCTAAACTTTCTTCCTGAAATGTATCGCTTCATATTACATTTTATTTGAGGGCATCGCCAATTATTTGCCGATTATGTACGACAACTGTGCCTTGCAATTGAACCATCTAGGAAAAGCTTTTATGAGAACTTGACTGCAAATAGCCTACTAGTAACTAAGCCATACAATCATTTAGTAGTTAATTTACAAGCTAGCTTAAAGAATAAAGGATTCAGAAAATTAGTGGTATGTTTATAGACAATTCTTATATTTTATATGAATTCTATATAGGTTCCCCTTGTGGACAAAACCAAATAATTTTGGCAGGAGAAAACTCCGATACAATCACTATACCAAGTCAAGTTATGCCGTCAGACCAATTCATTACAAAAATTCTTAATGTCCGCAATGGTATTCGGAAATCAAGAAGTACACAAACATGATTAAACCTTGATTTGATTTTCTTGAATGGATTGTTTCACTTAAAAGTGGGGCACAACATATCACTAAGGGTTTTTTCCTTTGGCTATGCCGCTTCTTGTATGCCTCTCTTATTGCTTAATTTGCGGGTTAAGCAAAAAGCTAGATTATTGGGTCTCACTCTCAAATTTGATCAATTCTATCAACAGTCATCCACGTTATCTTAATCTTACATTGGGATACAATATAACGTTCCTTCATTCTGTAACGTATAGATCTTTAACATATTTTGTAAAAGATATTGCTTTAGTAATTCAAAATGTTACATAATCAAACAGCCTATAAAACTTCTTTGGAACTATTGGAAGTTTGACTTGTTCTTCCTTGTTTCTTTTCTTTCTTAAAATTGTTTGACTTGTTAAATCAACTTGGAATAGATATAATCGATCCTAGTCACTCCAAAGTCAGAATTAAAAATTAATACTTGGACTTATTGACGAGTATAGGACATGAATCTTCTCTGCAAATATAATGGATCCTAGTCAAGTTGGAACACCACTACACCAGCTACATACCAGAGGTCCAGAGGTAGAGGGACGTGCTTGTTTGGCTACCGTTTCAATCATAAGAAAAGGAACAAAACGCCAAGTTGGCCCCTAAACTATTTTACTAAAGCTAAAATAGTCCTTCAACTTTATTATTGAATCAATTTAGTCTCTCAACTATTTTAGAAAAGTTAAAATAGTCCTTAGATTTTATTATGAGACAATTTAGTTCCTCAATTATTTCACTTAAGCCGAAATAGTTCCTCAACTATATTTATGTGCCAATTTTGCCCTTAATTGGCTGATTCATTCAATTTATGAACTCTAGACCAAATAAGAAATCAAGTTACCTATTTTGCCTTTAGTTGTCAGTGCAGAGAGTTGATAAATTAGGTAGATCAACCAAATAAGGATCAAACTAGCTTCTTAAATATAGTTGAGCACTATTTCGGTTTAAGTAAAATAGTTGAGCAATTAAATTAGTTCATAATAAAGTTTAAGGACTATTTCGGCTTTGTCATAATAGTTGAGGGACTAAATTGACTCATAATAAATTTTGAGGGCTATTTTGGCTTTAGAAAATAGATTAGGGACTAAATTGATATTTTACACTAAAAAAAAGTGAACAATTATAATGGGGCTCCTGATTAGTGACATTTCGCAGAATAAATCAATTGGATGGAGAAAAATGAAAAAGAAAAACAACAAATATCTACCCAGTGAGGGCCAATTTCAGGAGGGTCGTAACTGTGAATTGATGTTTTTCTCTGTTTCATAAACTGCTGGAATTTTGTATAAATATAGTTTCTAGATCATATAATGGGTATACTTAGGCAACAAACAGAAGATAGAGAAGACCCGTTGTGATTTTTCTATTATTTAGCTGAATGATGCCAAAAAAATTGGACCTAATAAAAAAATAATAACAATAATTAAACGCTTGTAGTATATTCTTTACTTCCTCAGAGGGAGCTGCAATTGTGGACTTTGTACCAATTCCAGCCAACTGCTCCTGGGCCAACACTTCGACCATTTCATCGGCAATCTAGCAAAGATTTTCCTATAAATAGTGATCAATCCATGCCAGGTTTCTCATCCTTCCCAAATTCCGTTTCCAATACATAAAATACCTTTTGCAAAAATGGGTTCCAAGACTATTCTTTTCTTCTGCATTTTCTTGGCTATATTTCTCATGATTACCTCACAGGTGGCTGCTAGGGAATTGGCTGAGACTTCCCCGTCCGTTGACAATTGTAAGACACTTATTCTCTAATTTAATTTCATCCTTTTATTTATTTATTTATTTATTTTGTTTCTCCTAACTTCTCTTAATTTTATGTCTAAGTTTTTTGGGTTTATTGTAGTTTACTGTAAAAATTTTAAAAAAATTTTTTTTAAGTATGTTTTTTTTTTTATATTTCGAAGTGTATAGTTTAAAAATTTTGAGAAGTTTTTTGAGATTACTGTAATTAAAATTTTTAAAAAACTTGAAGCAGATAAACTTGGCAAAAAACTTGGCTTCCAAACAAGGCTATAAATGGACCATAGAATTTCACATTTCTGATTACATAATAATCCCAGTTGGACATGCATGTAAGGGATTGAAGACTTGAAGATAAAATCACGTACACAAATTAGTTAAAAATTTTAGTATTTCAAATTGCGTGGAGGTGAACCCAAATGATTTTACGCGACGAAGTCATAGCTAATCACACTAACTAACGTACGTACCTTAACTTTTCCCATTGCAGCCAAGACTGTCGAGACGAATGGCGTAGAAGACTGGTATGGTGGAGGTGGCTATGGTGGAGGTGGCTATGGTGGAGGCTATGGTGGTGGCTATGGTGGTGGCTATGGTGGAGGCTATGGCGGAGGCTATGGCGGAGGCTATGGTGGTGGCCGTGGTGGATATGGTGGTGGTGGATATTGCCGCTTTGGTTGTTGCGGGCGAAGTTATTATGGTGGGGGTTGCAGGTGCTGCTCATATCCTAGTCAGGCCGTGGATGCTGAGCCTCAGAATTAATACAGCTAGCTTCCAGCTATGTCATGAATGTTTAAACAAGCTCATTGTGAATGTATGTGGTTTGTAGTGTGAAGTACAAAATAAGAGCTTGGTTAGTGTTTTGTGATATGCAGTCTATGTACTGCTTGCTAGTTCGATGTTTCAATTGTGTGAATGGGTAATAATTTGTTTTTCTACGAGGGCTTCTGATGTGGTGTCAAAATATTCTCATGCAATATGAAGTCTTTCAGTAATTTCCCACTGAAAAAGTGAGTAATGCTATTACTATTTCAAAATAACAACTAAATCAAGGACATTTTCGGTTGGTTTTATTAGAAAAATACCAAAGATTAACAGAAATATAATGTTTAGAGTAATAGACGTCTATAAATCATTGATGGCGTTCTAATATAATCACTCTTTAAAATCTGATACGAACTATTATCTTTTTCTTTTTTTTTTTAAACGAAAAGTCTGTTTTATTAATGGATCACCTCACCAACTGGTTTAAACAAAAGACATCCCATATAAAAAAAAAAGAGTAAATTTTATATACATTGACAGTGTATATATTATTACTGTTGGATTCATGACACATATGCTAAAGTTAGAGTACAAATTCAAATTTTGTATAGTTATCATTAATTCAAATCTATACACTGTCAGTGTAGAAAACATTAAGTTATAAAAAAAAAACAAAAATAGACTCTCCCTATCTTAGATACTAATTGTTATCAATATAATAGTCTCCTATTAGGAAAATGAATACTCTCACAATTTCTTATAATCTTAAACTTTTACCTTGTGCTTGTAATTTTGAAAATAATAACATTTGTAATGCAACTATTGTCCTATCTATTAATCAGTAACCATTGTGAAATTGCTCTAAATTTTATTTGTTTGCGGGTATTATTCATTAACCAGACTACTCCAAACATTTATGGTGACAGATAATTGATAAGTGACTAATTTGACCTATTTTGAATGATATGTTATGTTATTTTTAGTCACTTTTACAATATTATAGGAAGAAAATCGATCATTTTGGCTATAATTTGTGTAAAATGCTCTTAAGTGATTAAATAAGATTTTTTTCACTTTTACTTGCATTTTGTCCATAATTTGTACAGAAGTTAAAAATATACTTCATTTGGATGAAACGCAAGTTGACAGTTTTGATACATCTTCGTATTTCGGCTATAACTTGAGCTAAAATGATCGGATTGAGATGATTCTTGAACTATTTTTGAAGATAAGAGATAGATCTACAAATCTTATGAAGACATCAAAATCCAGTTTGAAGGTTTTCCATGTCAAAAAACTGAATTACAGTAGCCAATTTCTATTAGTCTAAACTGAAACAAGGCATTGAGCAATGAAGGGTATTTCCATCGTTTTGCAGCCTACACAAGTCCAAATGAGATGATTCTTAATGCATTGGAAAGCTAACTCAAAGGGTTACAAGTTTCATGTTTTGGTCAAGAGTTAATTCAGCTTTTATCATCAAGAAACGTTTAGTTGAAGTTAATGCAAAATTCGAATGCCTTGAAGACTGAACAGAAATTGCAAGGATATGCAGGGGAGCAATCCAGCCGGATTATGACCGGATTTTTGCTGGATTCTGATCAGAAATGGCTGCTTTCAACTTGCACAACTTGTTTCCTCCTCCAATAATTCACAACTATTAATGGACATATGACAACCACTTTGCAACTGTAAAAGTGATGTTTGAAGCCTCATTTTTTGACTAAATTCATCTATATATAGCCATAGATTTGCAAGATTCTAGAGAGTTTGGAGAGTGCAAGAAATACCACAAAAATATAGTTCTTACATTTTCTTAGTAGTAGATTAGTATAGTATAGGATAGTTTAACTAGTAGTTCATCCTTTCTTGTTTATTAGCTAGGCAAAGATAAAGAAGGAGATGAAGATGGAGGATATGAACTCATGTGACAAGGGTTACATTTCCTTCCTAACTCTTTATCTATTGTTCTTGATTCTAAGTTTAGTTAATATACAAGTTATGGATTTATATGCTATTATGTGTTTCTAAAGTTTATGTCTTAGGTTTGGTTGAACTTTCTATAATTGTTAGTGTTTATTATTTGGCTATTTGAATCTATTATTTTGATTAAGTTATTTAGCACTTTAGCTCTATAAATCATGATTAACTTGGTACCATTAATTGTGATTATCTAAATGTGCTGTGTCTTCAATGAAAATTGAGATTTAACACAGGAATAAAGATACACCTTTGTGGGTTTAGTGATTCATTTCATGTAATTTCATAGAGGTAATTAACTTGTAGTTAATTTCATAACCACGAGAATAGGTATGGATTAGTTATAAGTATAGTTAATTCACTACGAGAATAGGTTTCACATGTATAAGGATATTACGCCATAGCTAGCCAAGATAGTAGTAATCAATGATCTAAAAATAGCATTTGCATTAGTAGTTAGGAATACCATAATTTAAGGAGGTTTCACTTGTTATTATCTTGCACAGTAATTGTCCAATCTTTCTCGTGGGATCGACCCAATATTTGTCCTAAACTACTAATTTGACCTGTATACTTGCAATCAAAACGGGTATTTTTCAAAATTAAAATTATACTTATATAAAAAAAAACACTTCAATAATGACAAACTCAACCTCCTATGCACTTTGGTTGCATGAAATTTGACTAATAATAGAGTAAACAAAATACAAAAGCCTTATTTGTATATCCGTCTATCAGTGAAGAGAAATAAAAATCCGAACATTTAATCTCTCCATACAAAAAATCAAGTGAAAAGCACTAACCTAGTTTCTCAACCTAAACTCTCAACACCTATAGCTTGAATGTCAAAATTTAACTTTATAATTGTGTTTGAAGATATAATTATTAGCCATTCACTACGAAAGATTGAACATTCATCTACTGCCAACAACACTAAAAAAGGTCGAGCCAGCATGATCTTCATTTATTTATTTATGTTGTGGGGGAGGGGTTTTTTTTTGAGGGAGGGGCTTAGATTGCAAAATAATGGTTTTTTTTATGGAACAGTAGAGTTGAAAAATCAAATTTTTTATGAATACATATGAAGGAGGCCTTTAAGGCCATCTAGTTTCATAAACTTTAAAATAATTAAATACACTAAATAATCTCAAAGGACATAACTTTGCTCTTTGCTGCAAGTTCTTTGCACGAACATGTCTCCAGATCATTCGTAATTTTATCATCAACAGACTTTTACTTCTTTTGTACTTCTTGAATTTTCATAGGTATTACCAATTTTGAAAGCTTTTGAAGTAACAGTTTCCTCTACTACATGCTTTTCCCTTTTCTTTTTCCTAGAGAAAACTAGTTAGTTAACACTAAAAGCTAAATGCAGATTTTACAAATTTCTTGCTGTCAAGAAATTATGCGTAAAAGAATTTGTCAGCAACTATTTTCTGATAATACTGCAAACAATTTTGCAACTGTTGTACTGAACACTATTATGTGCAATTTTTTCTTTGCATAATTCTATTCTCTCACCAATAGAAAGAATCAAGCATCTATTCGTTATCTATAGCTTGAATTTATTCAATCAAATTAACTGAAATAAAAGCATAAAAGAAGCTGGCTAATAATTTGTAAATCAAAAGACAATAAACTTTGGTAAATGATATTTACACTCTAAAAAATTGCACCCACTCAACACTTGCTTATATTTGTTAAAACTGATATAAAGAATCAAAACCTTTATTGACTCATAATTTGAACACCCAAAACATCCCCAAGAAAAATCTCAAAATCTATAATCTCGCATAGTTTGAATACCAAAACCTATATTCATTTTGCAATATTTGTGTGGAGACCACTACACTATTGATTACAAATTAAGTCAATGTATATATATGTAAATATGCTGTAATGACTAGCTCAGCCATTAGAAAAGAACGAAATGCAGTCCATGCAGCCATGCACAATCCATGCAATCCATGCAGTCCATTGAGTTAGTTAGAGGGAATATTCTTGTAGTTAGTTTGTTAGTCTATTATTGCCGAGTCAGCATGCAGCCAAGACATCATTTGCATGCAGCTAGATATTATCTGAGCTGTATATAAGCATGAGGATCCGGAGGAGAAAGACACTTTTGGCATTTTGAATAAAATCTCAGTTTCTTTCTTCTCAAGTCTTCTTCTCTCTTCTCTTTTCTTTCCAGCTCTCATTACAGTGGTATCAAAGCTTTTGATCCTTGGATTCAGGAGCTTGATTCGCAGCCATGGCAGAAGGTACACGCCTCAAAACAATCGAGGAGCAGGTCCGGACGCAGGAAGCTAAGTTGCAGACGTTCATGAAGTCTACCAGCGAGGCTCTGAAATCTATGGAGGAGAAAATGCTGGCCAACTCCACAGAGCTAAAGGCTCTCATAGCCGGCATTTTTGCGCAGATTGGAGGGAATAACAGGAATCCATAGCAAGAACGAGGACTCCTAGCCACCCCTACAAGTTCCCTGCAAAGCAACTCCAGGCAAGGGCAAGGGCATCAGGAACGAGAGGAACGAAATGCCTTCATCCCAGGGGTGCCCAAGCTAGAGTTCCCCAGGTTCACAGGAGAGCAGATGAGGGATTGGATTCAAAAATGCGAGACTTTCTTCCATCTGTATGGCATATTGGATTCGCAGAAGATGCTGATTGCAGAAATGCACTTGGAAGGGAGGGCAAATGTCTGGTTCCAAAGTTTCAAAAGGGATAAGAGGATATTTGGATAGGAAGAGTTCAATGAGGGAGTGAGTCGTAGATTTGGGGGCCTAGGAGATGAGGATGGAGTCGAGGAATTCAACAAACTGTAGCAATCCTCCACAGTAATGGCTTATCAGGAGAAGTTTTGAGGAGTTGAGAGCCATAGTACTGCTCAAGAATCCGGGGTTGAGTGAGAGTTATTTTGTTTCCAGCTATTTGAGTGGATTGCAGGATGAACTCAAGGCACTAGTCAAAATGCACAAACCTCAGATCCCACAAGAAGCCTTCGAGGTTGCAAGATGGCAGGAAAAGGCACTGGAGGTGATTCTCAAGAAGAGCAAGGCATCTACAGGCTCTATCCTCCTTCATAGATGAGTTCCAATGGAGAAATGTCTACGCACAAACCACCTGTGGCCAAGGCAGCAACAGTCAGCGAGGGAGATTCTACGAAGCAAGGTAACATTTCTCAACCATATAAGAGAATCACCCCCACTGGGTTTCAATACATGAAGGACAACCATTTGTGCTTTAAATGTGGAG